CGTATCTCTGAAGGTCTCTGTCTATTCAGTGCACATTTAATCCAGATTTCAGTCTGTCTTGCTTTATAAGTCCCTAACCATGCAGAAGCATGAAAACGTTTTCTCCATAGTTCCACAATCATGAATTTTAGCAGTTTTAGAGTACTGTTGCTATAAAATTGTGGCTATCAGCTTGTTTCCATTCCTTTCATAAAGTGTTTAGTAGCATAATGCATTATTAGGTCTACTATCTATCTATTGTACTTGAAAATCATCCTCTCTATGTAAAAGAACTATTTATTCAATGGATATTTATTGAGCACCAAAAACTGTCAAGCATTGTTCTAGGTATTTGGGATATATCAGTGGACAAATCAAAGATACCTGCCTTGCTTATATGGAGGAGTTGTAATTATTGCCAATGAAAAGCCTAGGATGAAATATCATTGGAAGATTAAAGTTTAAGGAACTGAAAGGCCAGAATATCACAAGAATCATCTATATGTGTTTCAAATCTTACAAATTAAGTCAGTACTAAAGAGAATGACAGTATACAAAGAACTCCAGTGGTTGAGTGGGAATTACCTGGACCTTAGTGGATAACAGCAACCATGAGGCAAAGTATGTAGTGAGTAATGTCGACCATGAGATTTAAATCTGAAGGATGTCAGGAAGGATATGGGGAAATGGTCTGAAAATGTCAGAATGGAGCAAAGAAATGCCACTTTGCTTATTCCACTCACCCAGCCGGAGGTCACAGGGACAAGACTGACACCTTTCCATGTTGCATAAGAACTGTGGGAGAGAAGCAGCCATCACTGAGAGATTGTAGGGGAGGCATTTTCCTCCAGAGAAAGACAGATTTATGTTTGAGCTAGGAAAGTAAGGGGAACACTTAGAAAATTGATTTTTGGCTCACTAGAAGGATTTCAACAGTTGGGAGAGAACAAAGGTAATTTTCACCAGCTTGTAACTTTACATGTATTAAATGTGTTACAAAACTAATGAAATGTACCGTCTTTTCTCTTGATTTATCTGATAATATAGAAATGGTGTCACCTGTAATCATTGTTACCATATTTCCTGAGGCCATTTTCTTATTCTCATATAATTTTCTACTTGTTTCTTCTTTATTTGTATTTTTTCTCCTTTTTTAATTTTGCTCTTTTTATCATTTCTGTCTCTTCATATCCTACTTACCTCTTCATCTTTTTTGCCCAGCTTCTCTCTTAATATTTTTTGTTCTTTACTATTTCTCTTATCATTCTATTTCAAAATTACACTGTCTGCTGTTTTCTCCAACCCCTGGCACCTCACTTTAGCTGTAGCTGGGACTGTGCAATATGCCATCACACAGGTAGTACTAATTTTGACAGGTAGCATCTCTACTTCAAACAAAGAAAGCTTTAACCAAAAAGGAATTACAGGAGAGAAGACAGTATTCTCCCCAGCTGATGCTAACATTGCCACCTACACTTTCGATACTTTCTTCAACAGTTAAGAGGTGGCAACTTATTACTTCCCCAAATTCTCTGTGCTCTGTTGATATGTTTTAAACTGGAAAGGAAGAGAAAGTAGTTTTGTTCATTAGCTGTGGGACTTAAAATGTGACTTAACTTTTTTGAACCTTTTGTTTCGTGAATGATAAAAAAAAAACTTTCTGAATGATATAGCTACTAATATTTTCATTTTATAGATAAAATGAAAGATAAAGTACTTTTTTTAAAGGTTGCATAAATATAAGTGACACAGACTGGATATGAATGTAAGCATTTGACTCAATCTCAGAAATCATGCTTTTAATGAATATTGTTTCTCACATAATATAACTTAATATTGTGGTCAATAAAATAATAAATAGGACCAGACACATATATATATACATTAATTCACTTCCTTTTATTTCCTTTTTCCAAAATTGAGCCTTATTGGTAAAGGGCTTTTTGTGCATTTTAATTGTCTATATTTACTCGAACCAATTATAATTTTTCACTTGCCTGCATGAATCCATAAAGGACAAAAACCTGAATATACAAACTATTTTTCAGCTTTCAGTTTGCCGGAGGATTGATCTATAATTATTTTTAGGATTATAAAAGATTTACATCCATTATTAAAATATATATAATATCGGATTTTTTTCAGCAATAGAGGAGTAACTAATTCTATAGTTTCATGCCAGTCTCACCTCTGATCCTTCTAGAATTTGGAGGTAATTTAACCCTGTGTGTAAAAAATAAATATTTTCTTTTTTGTGTTTTATTGAAAAAATCATGTAATTTAAGTACAAATATATCCACTAAAGTAGGCAAATTTATTTTAATAGAATTCAGTTATCCCTTTCAAAGAAACACTATCAGCCTAAGTGTTATACATTGAATATTTTAGAAATCTTACAATTTCAATTACATGTCTTCTGAAACTTATTATTGTAAGGCTTTGTTTTAGGCCTTCCTTGCTGTATTAGTTGACTGGGGCTGCCAGAAAAAAATACCACAGGCTGGGCAGCTTAAACTACAGAAATAAATTTTCTCACAGTTCTGGACGCTAGGACACCTAAGATCAAGATGGCTAGCCAGGCAAGTCTCATTCTGAAGATTTCTCTCGGCTTATAGGCGGTTACCATCTCCTTGCATCATTGTGTTACCTCTTTGTGTGCTTGGAGAGAGAGCAAGAGAGGTAGCTCTTTGGTGTTTCTTCTTTTAAGAACACTAATTGGATGGATCCAGCCCCACTCGTATGGCCTCATTTAACCTTAATTACCTCTATAAAGGCCCTATCTCTAAATACAGTCACATTTGGGGATGGGACTTTAAAATATAAACGTCAGGGGGACATAAGCCTTCATCCATAGTATTGCCATTGTAATATTTTGTATACTTTGGCACTTAAGAAAGTAAGTTTTTTTTAACCTAGTAATTTAATGTTTTCTTTAGAGGTTTTTTCCCTAATACAACACTCTCCTATATATAATCTACTTGGTGATACAAATATCCCTTTGTTTGCTTGTACTTTCGTTTCCTCATAAAGTAAATTTTTCTGTAGCTACTAGTGCTATGAATAGCTATGAATGTTAGCTTTCTTGGATAGGCTTTACCTTTTTTTTTTTTTTTTTTTTCCTGCCTCAGGTTTATTTGTACAAATAGCACAGGAGGACCCCAGCCCCATGCAGATGGCAGCCCAGAGGTGGGGGTGGGGGGTCGCACCAGTCCTTCTGTCCTCACGTTGGCAGACAGAGATACCTACTCTGTAGCCTTTGTAGTGGCCTGGGCACCTTTGGGAGCCTGAGCTGGAATTGAAGCTGGAGCTGCAGCCTGGGCCTTGGTTTGATCCTTGGCCTTGGCCTTGGCCTTTGGCCGGCACAGCCGGAGCCCCTTGGCAATGCGAGCACGAGCACGCTTCCCAAGCTTGGGGTGGGCAGTGTAGGCAAGTCGATCAAGCTTGCGGCTGACACCCTTTGGGATCTTGGGCTTAACCTCCTTGGGCTTTACGAGGGCCTTGACAGCCTCGGCACGTGCACTCATGGCCTTGGCATTGTTGGCCTGCATCTTCTTTAGGCCCTTCTTGCTGTGTTTCTTGGCAAAGCGCATGTTCCTCAGGAACTTGGGGTCCACCCCCTTAAGAGATTTGTATCTTTGTGATTGGGGTTTCTTGATACCATTTCTGTGCCATTTTCGGGACTGGTTGTGTGTGGTGTGGTTCTTGGACTTGGCCATGTCTGCACCTTTAGCCACGGCTCCCGAAGCGCCTAGAACTGGAAGAGAAAGGGGCTCAGGCTTTACCTTTTAGATCAATTTTAAGTTCATAAAAAAATTGCACAGACCGTTCAGACAATTCCCATATATTTCCTCTCCCTGCTGCACACAATTTCTCCTCTTATTAACATTTTACATTAGATCAGTACATTTGTTACAATTGATAAACCAACATTAATAGGTTATTATCAACCAAAGTCCATGGTTTACATTAGGGTTCGTTCTGTGTTATACAGTTCTATTGGTTTGGACAAATGTTTAATGACTTGTATCTACCATTACAGTATCAAGGATGGTTTAACTTCTCTAAAAATGCCCTGTGCTCCACTTGTTCATCCCTATACCTTCTCCCTGATGCCCTGACAACTGCTGATATTTTTACTGTCTCTATAGTTTTAACTTTTCCAGAATGTCATATAGTTGTAATAATATAGTATGTAGCTTTTAAAACTTCTTTCACTTAGCAATATGCATTAATCATTCTTTCATGTCTTTTTTTTTGTGGTTGATAGCTCATTTCTTTTTCCAGTAGTCCCACTTTATCTGTAGGGGATACATTCTAAGACCCCCAAAAGATGCCCGAAACCTCAGATAGTACTGAACCCTATGTATACTGGTTTTTTCCTACACATACATACCTGTGATAAAATTTAATTCATAAATTAGGCACAGTAAGAGATTAACAATAGCTAATAATAAAATTGAACAATTTTAACAATATGCCAGAGTCACAAGTCTTGTGCCTTGGGACTTTTATTAAGTATAATAAGTGGCCAATATCAAGTGTAACATATAGAAATAGAAGAACAGAAAAACCTCTGTGGGATTTGGCATTAACGTAGACCTTAGTGAAACCTGTTTTATTAGAGATAGTGATTTTTTAAAAACACTTAATTGTGAAGGGAAGGGAATTGATGAGATAACACAATTGTCTGAAGGTAGAGAGGAGATAAAACAATTTTTTTGTTTCTAATGAGAAGAGTATAATTAAGCATGGGGAATAGATACATAGAGATTATAAAGACAGTGATGATTACAAAATATTTAACCAAATAATTAGTGTTATACATGTTTGTGATAGAGCTATGGTACACTTATTTAAGTAAAATGCCAAAAGACAGCGCCAAGCTCCAAGCTTTATGTATCACAAACATCAAAAATGACTTGCTGAATTAAATTAAATTGAGTCTCCATTAACATGTAAATCATCATACTGTGCCCTGGAATAATTTAGAGTTTAATTTTTGTGTTTACTTCCATATGAAGGTCATCGAACACTATTTATTGGAGTACATGTGCCCTTGGGAGGAAGAAAAAGCCATCGACGTCACAGACATCGTGGTCATAAACACAGAAAGAGAGACAGAGAGAGAGATTCAGGATTAGATGATGGAAGGGAGTCACCTTCTTTTGGTAAGAATCCTTCTCCTTGTTTTTATTAAATTAATTATTGTAATATACTTGCTGGTACAATTATGATTAGGAGTAATACCTTATACTCATAAAATTGTTTATACTTTTTTAAAGTATGTTGGGCAGGTTGGAGAGAAGTGGGAGAGATAAAGCTTGATCTTTGTTTTTCTCTTATATATTTGCTTTGAGAAGCTGAGTATTAATGAAGATTTATGATATAGGAAATACAACTGAGCAAAGCTCAAAAATTCTTGTTAATTTGTACAAGTAATCATCATTACTCAAAGTGGTTTGAAAATCCAGGGGAAAATGCCTTAATTTAGTTCCCATTTGCACTTTTACTGATGGTGCCCAACTTTCAGTCTTAGGATGTTATATTAGTTCATTTTCACGCTGCTGATAAAGACATACCAGACTAGACAATTTACAAAAAAAAACAAAAGAGGTTTAATTGGACTTACAGTACCACGTGGCTAGGGAAACCTCACAATCATGGTGGAAGGCAAGGAGAAGCAAGTCACATCTTACGTGGATGGCAGCAGGCAAAGAGAGCTTGTGCAGGAAAACTCCACCTTATAATAACTATCAGATCTCATGAGACTTACTCACTATCACAAGAACAGCACAGGAAAGACCTGCCCTCATTATTCAGTTAACTCCCGCTGGGTCCCTCCCACAACATGTGGAAATTCAAGATGAGATTTGAGTGAGGACACAGCCAAACCATATCATTCTACCCTTGGCCCTTCTCAAATATCATGTCCTCACATTTCAAAACCAATCATGCCTTCCCAACAGTCCTCCAAGGTCTTAACTTGTTTCAGCATTAACTCATAAGTCCATAGTCCAAAGTATCATCTGAGATAAGGCAAGTCCCTTCCATCTGTGAGCCTGTAAAATCAAAAGCAAGCTAGTTACTTCCTAGATACAACTGAGGTAAAGGCATTGGATAAATACAAACATTCCAAATGGGAGATATTAGCAAAACAAAGGGGCTACAGGCACCATGCAAGTCCAAAATCCAGCAAGGCAATCAAATCTTAAAGCTCCAGGATGATCTCCTTTGACTCCATGTCTCACATGCAGGTCATGATGATTAAAGAAGTGGGTCCTCATGGTCTTGGGCAGCTCTGCCCTCGTGGCTTTGCAGGATATAGCCCCCGCTCCTGGCTGCTTTCATGGGCTGATGTTGAGTGTCTGTCACTTTTCCAGGCACACTATTCAAGCTGTCAGTGGATCTTCCATTCTGGAGTCTGGAGGACAGTGGCCCTTTTCTCACAGCTCCACTAGGTGGTGTCCCAGTAGGGACTCTGTGTGGGGGCTGTAACACCACATTTCCCTTCTGCACTGCCCTAGAAGAGATTCTCCATGAGGGCCCTGCCCCTGAAGCAAATTTCTGCCTGGGTATCCAGGCATTTCCATGCATCTAGGTGGAGGTTCCCAAACCCCAGTTCTTGACTTCTGTGCACCCACAGGCTCAACACCATATGGAAGCTGCCAAGGCTTGAGGCTTGCACCCTCTGAAGCCACAGCAGGAGCTCTACATTTGTCCCTTTCAGCCATGGCTGGAGCAGCTGAAAAGCAGGACACCAAGTCCCTAGGCTGCACACAGCATGGGTACCCTGTGCCTGATTGAGAAAACCACTTATTCTTCCTGGTCCTCTGGGTCTATGATGGGAGGGGCTGCCATAAAGACCTTTGACATGCCCTGGAGACATTTTCCTCCTTGTCTTGGGTATTAACATTTGAGTCCTCATTACTTATGCAAATTTCTGCATTTGGCTTGAATTTCTCCTCAGAAAATGGAATTTTCTTTTCTATTGCATTGTCAGGCTGCAAATTTTCTGAATTTTTAGCCTCTGCTTCCCTTATAAAACTGAATGCCTTTAACAGCACCCAAGTCACTTCTTGAATGCTTTGCTGCTTAGAAATTTCTTCTGCCAGATACCCTAAATCATCTCTCTCAAGTTCAAGTTTCACAAGTCTCTAGGGCAGGGGTAAAACACCACCAGTCTCTTTGCTAAAACATATAACAAGAGTCACCTTTGCTCCAGTTCCCAACAAGTTCCTCATCTTCACCTGAGACCACCTGAGACTGCCTGGACCTTATTGTTCATATCACTATCAAGCTTTTCATCAAAGCCAGTCAACAAGTCACTAAGAAGTTCCAAACTTTCCCACATTTTCCTGTCTTCTTCTGACCCCTCCAAACTGTTCCAACTTCTGCCTGTTATCCAGTTCCAAAGTCACTTCCACATTTTCAGGTATCTTTTCAGCAGCACCCCACTCTACTGGTATCAATTTACTATATTAGTATGTTTTCAGGCTGCTGATAAAAACATACCTGAGGCTAGGCAATTTACAAAAGAAAGAGGTTAAATTGGACTTACAGTTCCACATGGCTGGGGAAGCCTCACAATCATAGCAGAAAGCAAGGAGGAGCTAGTCACATCTTACGTGGATGGCAGCAGGTAAAGAGACCTTGTGCAGGAAAACTCCCCCTTATAATAACCATCAGATCTCATGAGACTTACTCACTATCATGAGAACAGCACAGGAAAGACCTGTCCCCATGATTCAATTACCTCCCACTAGGTCCCTCCCACAACACCTGGGAATTCAAGATGAGATTTGGGTGGGGACACAACCAAACCATATCAGATGTGAACCTTTTACTATTGTGAATGCTCTCTCTTTGGAAGTATATTCAGAATACCATAATAAGTGTTTTTGTAGTTGTTAAAAGGTTCTGAGTGCCATGAGAGCCCATGTACATGACATAACTGAGAACCTGGCTTTCAGTTCCTTGGCCATCCCCTCTCTTGTGACCTTCTCTGTCATTGCACTTGGTTCACCTTCTCATCCATATTCACTCCATCTCTGAAGTCATCAATTCATTTATCTTTCTTTCTGACCACAGCTTCACTCCTTTCTTGCTGTGCAGCTACTTAACCCCTCTACTTTTCTTCTATCCATAAGTTTGTCTTTATTTGTTTATCCTACTCTGATTGCATAGCATGCAGTTTTAGGAATACTTTAGCATTACTAGTATTCCATCAGTATTACTAGTAGTCTATTTAGTAATACTAGTATTTTAAATGTCTTAGGTTCTAAGTTTTAGTTTTATTCATGCCTTTACTGCCTCTTTTGTTTTCATTTTTAATAGGAAACAGCATTTTATTTAAAATATTTTTAATAGATTTCTTAAAGATGTAAATAATTGAATTAAACTTAGTTTATATTACTTGTATGAATTAATTTACATTTTGTTAACATTCATGAAAAATAATTTAGCTAGGTATGCAATTCCAAATTGACAGGTATTTTAACTCAGAACTTTGAACATAATATCTATTTATTTATCAATTTCATGAAGCTGTTAAGAAAGGAGGTAAAAATCTATTGTTGCACTATAGTTAATTTGGATTTTATATTTTTATGAGTTTAAATCATTTCCTTTATTTTGGTATTTAGCCTTACATTTATTATGATATTTTCAGGCACATATATATGCCTTTTATGCTTGTCTTGGTTGATATTTAATGAAAATGTGTATTAATAGTTCTTTAAAATGCTTAAACTTGTCCTATTTCTATTATTTTCTCTCCCATTTATTTAAATTTGTTTTTTCAAATATTCATTAGGCATATTCCTTTCAATTTGATTTTCAATTTATTTTGATCCATCTTTTATATTTTTTCCTTGTCCTGACATTGAAGTGTTTATTTTAGCTAATTCATTTATTCATATTTTAGCTCACAGTTTTTGCCTTGCTCATATCCCTCTACTTTCTTTAAACATTTTGACTACGTATGTCTTTCATTTCTTTTACTTTGGATATAGGGGGTACGTGTGCAGGTTTGTTACCTAAGTATGTTGTGTGATGCTGAGGTTTGGGATATGGATGGTCCTATCATCCAGGTAGTGAGCACAGAGTATACTTTTACAACCCTTGTTCCCCACCCTCCTTCCAAGCTCTGGTGATTCTCAGTGCCTATTGTTCCCATCTTAATGTCCATGAGTACCCAATGTTTAGCTCCTACTTATGAGTGAGAACATGCAGTATTTGGTTTTCTGTTCCTGAGTTAATTTTTTTAGGATAATGGCCTCCAGCTGCATTCATGTTACTGCAAAAGGATATGATGTCAATCTTTTTATGGCCACATAGTATTCCATGATATATATGTATCACATTTTCTTCATCCACTTTACCATAATGGAATCTAATTGATTCCATGTCTTTGCTATGGTGAATAGCACTGCAGTGAACATACAAGTGCATGCATCTTTTCGGTGGAATGATTCATTTTTCTTTGAGTATATTCCCAGTAATGGAATTGCTGGGTTGAATGGTAGTTCTGTTTTAAATTCTTTGAGATATCTCCAAACTGCTTTCCACAGTGGCTGAACCAATTTTTATTCCCACCGACAGTGTGTAAGCATTCCGTTTTCTCTGCAGCCTTGTCAGCATCTGTTATTTTTTGACTTTTTAATATTCACCATTCTGACTGGTGTGACATGGTATCTCATTGTGGTTTTGACTTGCATTTCATTTTTTCACAGCTTGTATGTTTTCTTTTCTTTTCCTTCTTTTCTGTTCATGTCCTTTGCCCATTTTTAATAGAATTATTATTATTTTTTGCTTGTTGATTTGTTTAAATTTTGCTTGTGGATTCTGGGTATCAGACATTTTTTGAATGCATAGTTTGCAAATATTTTCTCTCATTCTGTAAGTTCTCTAAAATAGTTTAGACTATTGAGATTTGCTGTGCAGAGGCTCTTTAGTTTAATTAGGTCCCACTTGTCAATTTTTGTTTTTGTTGCAAATGCTTTTGGAGACTTAGCCGTAAATTCTTTGTCAAGGTTAATGTTGGGATAGGTATTTCCTAAGCTTTCTTCTAGAATTATTATAACTTAAGGTCTTACATTTAACTCTTTAATCCAACTTGAGTTAATTTTTGTATATGGTGAAAAGTAGGGATCCAGTTTCATTCTTTTGC